TGGCCATAGGATCGTCGTTTCTCACGTTTCTTAGCCATACACTTCATGTGTGATCAGCTGACGTGTAAAGTTAAAAAGAGAAAAAAGTTTCAAGTTTTTCTAAGAGAATGATGTTATAATACCGAACTGTGTGAATAATTCATTCATCATGGATGCAAGAAAATGAGTCCCATTTCTCGAAATTCCATCAATTTTCTGTAAACAATTCCCACGATTGTTGAAATTCCATCTCAAATTCCTAAATTGTTGTAAAATCGGCTACGAATTTCAAAAATCTTGGGAATTGTTATAGAAAATCGACCTCGAATTTCCGGAATTCTGGAAATACGAGGTCGAATGTTCAAGTCTGTTGTAAATTCGATTTTCTAGAATGTAGAAAATCCTCAGGGAATTTATATGTGGACTTTTTAAAAATCGCCGAGCATTTTCTATAAATAATTCCCAACATTACAGTGTACCTGACGATAATTAAAGAGTGTAATCGAAAGCTTCGTTTTCCGGAATCAAAAACCAATGATTGTTATTGTATTAAAATCTATCTTAGTTTAGAATAGTCCTTTATAGAACAATGCTGCTGTTTCATCTGATGACAGAACTGTTATTCTTCTCCTGTTGTATTATATTCTCACCCCGTAAAAAAACATTTTTCCATTCGGTTAAAGAGTCGAATAATGAACATTATTCGTATGCTTTAATTTTTTGTCGTTGACTGGCTATTATGCACGACGCACAAATGCTTTCTTTAGCAGTTCCTGTACTTCCCAAACAGATGGTGTATCGATCGAAAACGAAACGATATCACCTGCTTTAAAATACACGGACACACTGCGACTTACTGTCCTTGTAAATCGTCAATACTGCCTACCATTTTCCCATAAACGACGTGCAACTTCTGGATCCACACATCGGGGGTTCCTACCATAATTTTTTTCATCCCCCACAACAACTGCTTTAATTTTACAATCTCCACAATCGTCACCCCTTCAGGTGTTAATGCCATCCAAACAGTTGTAACTGCACCTTGCTCGACTGTTTTGAATTTCACACATCGTAATTTTTTGAATGCTTCATATTCTTTTGTTAAATGTTTATCTAAACTCGTTTGAATAACACCAGAAGAGCTGTTCACAAATCCGAAATTTGAATATCCTCAAGTGGAATTTTATTTCAATTGCAACATTTAGTTCGGAATTATAATATTTTTGAGATCGACAGGTTAGCTTTTTTTCGTTGCTCGGCTTGGCCAGTGAACTCTACTACCGGAGTGAAATTCCTTAACGATTTTTTTGCATTGTACTTTCTCTTATAATTTTCGAAGGATGATACGCTCAGAGACTTGACACATCTCAGATGAGAGCGACAAGAGTACTAAAGATGTTGAGACGATTATAGAAACGTTTTTCTACTGATTTTTTCTGTGACACACGACAATTCAGACTAATTTGTTGTCTAATAAGCCAATTGTCAAATTTTTTTAAGAAATAGCACAGTCATTCACTTATCACACATAGAACAAATTTCAATATGATTCTAATATTAATACTGACCACAGAGATTAAAAAATCCCTTTTATCGTTACCCTACTCTTATTCCTACATGACAACCGATATCTCATCAAATATCGGCTCACCCCTAAAAGAGAAAATAAAGTTCAGTCTCAATAGAGATAATAATTTGTGGTGGATTCACAAAGAAATACCACAAATTGTGATTGACTCACATCTACCGGCCGCCGTTTTGATGTGTTTTTTTTTTCTTTTGAGACTGAATTTTGTTGTCTCTTTTAGGGGTAAGTGCAAATGCCTCATATATCAACATCCTACTGTTCTTTGTCATTCCCTGCTTTTACTCAGCAAAAAAATGTATAAATCACTCTCTTATATTTTCTTCTTTCATTTTTGATAAAAAGCTCACGAGATTAAAAATGCGGTGAATAAAAATTTGGACGACATCCCTAAATTCACTAAAAATATATATGTATCTGCCCACTTAATTTTTTAACTGAGAGGAGTTTTGAATTTGATAAATGTTCCACTTAGTCGTGCTGGTCATGGGTATAAATAAATCTGAATGTCAGCGGACAGCGTGTGAAAGAAAGATGATGGCAGTCAGGTTTTCATTCTATTCTTTTATTTCATGAAGATAAGACACGTGTAAGCGTTTCTCTTCTGTGTACTAAGGTTGTTTATTATTTAAAGTACATACGTACTGTTATTACTATTTAATTATTATTTAGTTATTATATCTCACGATAAAGCAGCAGCAGTGGTAGACACCACTTCATCTCAATCTGATTTCTACACATCAAGAAATGCAGGTAGTGATAAGTTGTTTAATTCTTCCTCACTGTCTTCAATCGATGTGGAACTTCTCTCCATACCATACTTGGAAGGAATAAAATCAAAAGATGGAAATATTGATGATTGTATCGATCAAATCATCGACCGTTGTGCTCCCGTCTTCCTTCAAAAATTGAGCAGTCGATTAGACACCCTCGAACAACGTCTTGATGACCTGAAGCAGTGTTTCTCAGAGCAAGACGAATGTTTAAAACAGTAAGATCAACTTTCTTTTTTCTTATATAATCATTAAAACACAGTCAGATTGTGAGAGTACGTATTTCTTCGTCTGATAACTCTTTGACTTTAAGTATACATGTATACAGCGATGCTTGACAACACAGATATAACCATGCACGTTTGCATTTTCTTTTCTGTCAAAAATGATTTTTTCTCAAAAATCAGGAAAACATCGGAATTATGCCTGCAATTCTCAGTTTTTTTCATCAGAACTTATTTTTATATAATACAAATATTGTATTCCAAATCAACCTCAAAAGCTGAGTCGAACGATATATATTTTAGAATTTTTCGTTGATTTTCATTTCACAAGTAGAAGACATGTTATAGCTTAACCTTACCAAAGGTCTTGGTCCAAGAAATACCAAAATCTTGCCATTTCTTGTGCAAGGAATAATCTTTTTACCATCTTGGTCTAGAAATCGACACGCAAATTCAAAATGTTGCTCAATGGCATAGACAAAAAATTTTTTTCTGTTCAACGTCAGTTGCGATGTATAAATGAACATTTGATGTAGATTGAATTTATCATCAAAGTTTCTTGTAATTAGATCATCAATGTAGCGAAAGGTGTTATTTAATGATCTGCATGTTCAATACAATTTTGGCATGTATTTAATTGCTCAGTATTTTATAACGAATGTTCAGTATTTTTTGCTCACTAAAAAGCTTGAAAAGATCAGTAATTAATTTAAAAAGATTTGGTATTCAGGGTGTGTATGTGTGCCTTCCTGTATAGCTTAGCGGCCACGAAACTTATCATGAACCACATTTCCAACTCCAGTTCCGGTTACTACAAATGAGAAAATGATCCGAATATCATGTGGAACCGAAACCGTTAATCATCAGGCACATGAAAATTTTAAATATATTTCAAGAAATTTTCACTATTGAATTGTTGAGATTAAAGACGTCTCATGGTGAAAGAACAGAAATACTATCGTGGACTATGCTGAAAAGGTCACTTTTAACAGTAATATTGCAAAAACGTGGATGTTCCCCGTGTACATAACAATTGAGCAATAGATAGTTTTGTTCGCCATTTAAAGCTGCATCGAATGGTATATAAGACTTTCCTTCAAACTTGTTGTATTCTGAGAAAATTACGAAAAAGGTCTCGAAATGGGCTCGCAGAGCTATTGTTCAAAGCTGATCGATTTTCTGACAGATATGAGGTCCGAAGGGGAACCAAGCGTGTAGAACCCATAAAACTGTACGCTTTTTCATTCTAGATAACTTACGAGATGATCTGAAATGGGGCCGATCCTCGTTCTTATTGCACCCCGTCCTTTCTCGACATAAATTTAAGAATTTTTATATAGATCTGACGATTTAACCGTTCCAAACTAGTTTTTCCACGGTTCACCCCCTTTGCACATAATACGGAGCAATAAATTATACTGTGCGTTTAATTTGTTCCCTACAATTTTTGTGTATTTTTATCCAAAAATTCAAATTCTGATTTGTACAAGAACAAATTAGCTAAAAGGGGCCCGGGATCTGTGCCCATTGGTATTCCAATGGTTTGTTTAACAATAATCTTTGCTAGAGTGAAATAACTATTCTCAATTAGAAATTTAATCATTTGGTCAAAGGTTTCTCTACTAATTATTTTACCAATTATTGTATAATATTGTGTTTATTGTTGTTTTGAATATTGATATTACTTGGAAAGTAACGAACCATCCATTGGTTAGTATCACTGTGTTATTCGACAAGATACTTTTCTTGGCTATCCATTTCATACTGTCCATTAGCAGCTCATGAGTATACTTGTATACAATGTTGAATAGTCGTATGATTCAGTATTTCTAGCTGATCTTTTCTGAGGGTACAAATTAATTTCTTTAATTTGTACTAATACATAAGATGAGCTGTCGATGATTCAAAATCGATTTATTTTTGTTCGGCTTTGTAGATTGTTACAAGATTTAATTTGTTGTTCATACATTAAACGTAGTGCACAACAGAGCAGTTTAGCTAATTTTTTAGTGCAGGAAGATGAGATTATAAAGCGTTGTATAAATTAGACTTACGAAATGTTGAGATCCAATAAATGAACGGTAGAGTTTTCATATTATCAGCAACGTCTATATTATAATTCTTTTTGAGCACTTTACATTGGGAATCGATTAATTCTGATAGATCTAACTTATCATCAATTTTCTATATATCAGATGGAGTATAATACCCGATTACTGCCCGAATTTTTTCTAAATAAAACCTTTTGCAAATGACAGCAACGTTTTTACTAGCTTTATCAATCGGTACAAGTACATATTTCTCATGCAAAGTTTTCAACTCATCTATAATACATAGTTGTTTTAATTTTGGTTTACGTAAGCTATATGCTCGATAATTCACTCGTTGTTTGCTTAATTGTTTGATACGATCTGTAACTAACTATAATAATGCAGTTTTTCATTCACGAAATAAGAGTTTCGCTAATTTTTCCTTTTTTGAAACTTTATCAATATAATTTTCTACAGCTTTTACACTTTCAAAAGCACGTTTCCAATTAGTTGGTTGTGGCTCACGATGTTGTGGTCCTTTTCGGAGAAGTTCGTGTAGTTGTTTATTTTTCACTATTCATAAATCACGAGTGATGATATGTTTATGTTGAGCATTACAGAATGTTGATAATCGACAGTCATAGGTAGATGTCTGAAAAAAATCTGTATTAAAAGCTGAAACCGTTTGGCGTTGTTGAATATTGAATATTTTACTACGAATCGCTTTTGTCTGATACGTAATCATAATATCTTTATTTTTCGAGATTTTTGCAGAAGTTCTTTGATAGACTTTTTATTGAGAAGACGTTTGATGGTTATGTCCTCTATGCTCCTATTCACAAATTTTATAGCTAGAGGATTACAGATAAAAAGTCTTTTTACTTTCCGAGGCATTGTTTATCACTTGTTGTTGATTTAGTTTGATTTTTTACTCATTTAAGAGGAGGTGAGTATTGATGATATCTGACATCACTTCCCTGGTGCCATCATCGAAAGTATTTGAGTCTTCAAATTGAGTCTTAATTGCTCTTAAAGCCAGAAAGCAGACTGATATAAAATCCGTCGACAATTATACATAAAATTATAGGGTAGTTTATCGTATAAGATCTGAAGTCGTTTCAGCGTATTGCTTGTATATTACACTGTAAAAAAAAGTTGTATCGCACTACGTGTGGATGTGGCGCAACTCTTCGTGTCGCAAAAAAAAACAATGTGTCGCAGAGTCTGTGTCGGGAAAGTTTTGCGATACATTTTTCCGCTAGACTCTGCGACACATTATTTTTTTCGAGACATGAAGAGCTGTTTAGTTTTGTCGCTACTTCCGCCACGGTGACTGTTCATTCTTGCATTTGTTTCAATACATTGTTTCATGCATCGCTTGCAAGTCAACAGATAGATAGCATTCCTTGTTTTATAGCTTAGAATAGAGCC